AATAATATTATAGTCTTGGCAAGAGGGATTCTGCCATTGCGCATTGCGGGATAGGGCACTCAGGGCTGCCGGCCGCTCCGCATACCCAACGGCCGCTTTTCAGTTCCCCCACTAGAGGGCGCGGGTAACTTAAACTGGCCAGGGGCGCTCCTCCCTCTGCGGCTGGTTACCACCCAACTATGTACCCCAGGAGCCTTCCGAGCGAAGGAAGGAAGTCGTCCAATCCAGACTCCATGCAGGCCTCCGGCAGAGAGATAAAACAAGACTGATCTGTCTTCTCAAATATCGTCAGATATCTCAAATAGATTCTCGTCTCATCCTTGGAGCATCTCATCCTAAGAAATTCCTCCTGAAAGCTCTCACTCCTCCCAGTGTGAACTAGGTACAACAGGCTCTTTTGCTCTGCCGTTAGTGGAAACAGGGAGCAGCCTTTGGATCCCCATGACAACCGTTCTTCAGAGGCACTTGTAAATAAGGAGGTATACAGCTGTAAGGTCAAACCTTGATTTTCTTTTTTTTTTTTTAACGTCTATTTATCCATTTATTTGTTGTGATTTTCTTTATGTAACTTATTCATTTATGTAATTTTACTTGTTATTATTATGTTTTAATTTGACCAGAGAGAGAGAAAGGAAAGTGAGAAGGCAAGCTGCCAGGTCTAGGACTTGCACCATGTTCAGCCACGTGTGAGTCCAGCACCTTAACCACCACCCCACCTGCCGGCCCCTGTTATGATTTTCAAGGCACCGGGGCCAGGATTCAAACCACAGTTGGCCATGTGGGAGTCCAGTGTCCCTAACCACGACGCCACCTGCCGGCCCCTCCCTACAGGTTTCTTTAGTCTCTTTCCAATTCCTCCATGAACATTCTAAAGCGTAAAAGACAAAAGTGAGGGCCAGCAGGTGGCATGGCAACAGGGTTCCACATGGCCAACTGTGTGGTTCATGTCCTGGACCCGATGACTTGAAAATCACACTGGTGCATGTGCATGTGAGCCTGGGATTCCAAGAGGAGAAGGGGTTGTGGTGTGGGCCTCTCTCCTGGGGGTGAGAGAGGCCTCTCTCTCTCTCTGTCTCTCTTTAGTAAACACATACATCCTGCGGCAAAAAAAAAAAAAAGAAAAGAAAAAAGTGACCCTTGCACTCCAGTATTCTATCCAGGGCCATATTTAGTACATAATTCATCTACCCAAGCAATATGCAATAACTCAATAAAGCAATTATTTATCAACTTGATAACAAATGACGAACATGAAGAGAATGACGTTGCAATATAGGACATGCTTAATATTTTAAGCTTTATAAAAGCACACAACGCTGAAGGTCTACTTTGATTAAGGCTGTAAACCTTAGATGTTTATGGACAAAGTCTAGAAGGCAACATAAAAATAAACAGTTGAACTGTGACGTTTGCGGGGGCTGGTTGTGATTACCTGACTTTATTTTTTATTATTGGTATTTTTTTGAGGACTTCTAAACAATAAGTGAAATCTTTTATTCACTCAGCAACCTAAGGAACATGCATTACATGTAAGAGCCAGGGCTGGTGCTGCAAGGAAGACAAAGACCCAGACCCTGCAGTGCAGAGACAGAAAAGCCAAGGGGACCAGCAGGTGGCGTGGTGGTTAAGGTGTTGGACACTCCCACATGATCGACCACAGTTTGAGTCCCAGACTTGGTGGCTTGCTTTTTCTTTTTCCCTCCCTCTCTCTGTCTCTCTGTGGTAAAATTAAAATAAATGAATGAATACATAAATAATTTTGTTTAAAAAGCCAACGCAGTGTTAAGTGCTTACCACGTCCTAAGTACTCTTATCACCCTCATTGTCTAGATTAAGGAAGTGAGAAATTGATGGGTTAAGTGGCTTATCCAAACTCACAAGGAATAAAAACAGAACCACAATTTGATTTCGGTTATTCCACTTCAATGTGAAAGACCTCAGACCTCAGGCTTAACTACTACAGCACACTGCCCCTCGTGACAGCCTACCAAGATGGAAAGGGAGGCTCCGCCCAGAAGCTGGGGCTGGCGGATGCAGCTACTCAGCAGGCTGCGGCCACGTGGGAGGCTCAGGTCTGATGCCCAGCCCACTCTGAAAGCTGGATATAGTGGCACATCTATAGAGGCTAAGGCAGGAGGATCCTGATATAGCAAGACCACGTCTAAAAAAACAATAAGGGCCAGCAGGTGGCGTAGTGGTTAAGACGCTGGACTCTCATATAACCATGGTCTGGTTTGAGTCCCGGACCTGGCGGCTTATTTTCTGACGTTCTCTCTCTCTCTCTCTATCTCTCCCTGGTGAGCATATGCATCATATAGCAAATTAGAAATAATAAATTAAGAAGAAAATCACACCGGGCATGTATGCATGGTCCCTAAAATCCCAAGAGGAGAATGGAGGAGAAGTAATTGCAGCATGGCTGTCCCCCCAGGGGGTGAGTCCTCATTTTCCATCATTCTTGTCTCTCCCCTCTCTGGTGAGCACCTGTACCATACAGGAAACTTAAAAAAAAAAAAAAAAACTTAAAATAATAATAAAAGGAAAGGATAAATGGCACTCAGTCATTTAGCAAATATTTATGGAACACCTCTGTCAGGTACCATGCAGGGCTGGGAATACACCGAGAGACGAGATAAGCACAGGTCCTGCCCGCCCACACACATCTCATGGTTCTAGATGACAAAGGACAGCAGTTTCCAGAAAAAAGGAGGAACACCCATCTTCAAGGTTATTAGGGGAGAACCACCTCCTTCCACTCCGCTCTGTTCCCAGCAGAGCATCAACCTTATGGAAAGAAGGGGGAACACAGAGCCCCAGAAGAAAAGTACTGAGGAGTGGCACCTATTCATTAAACAAACATTTGAAGAGGGGACACGAATGTAAGGACAGGGTCTGGAGAGAGGAGGGAGCTAGACCTTTAAGGCCCCCCGCTACTCTAAGAGTCTAGTCCCTGTTTAATTTTCACTCGAATAATCCTTGAACGTTGTTAAGTGCCAAGCACTGAGCTGGACCTTGTAAAATGCAATTGGAAATAAACTACGGCCCCGAGGCTGGCCTGTGGTTTATAGTCTAATGAGACACACAATTAAGGAAGACAGTTCAGTACCACGTTCTAAGGTCAGTGATAAAAAAGAACACATGAGATGGGGCACCATGCAGGCTGGGACCAGGAGCAAGAGGGTGATCCCTGTACTGAGCAGTGACACAGAACCATCTGGAATGAGAAAGGGAGTGGGACGGGGAATGTGAGCTGGGCTGCGGGAATGGCTCGTATAAAGCCCTGGAAAGGACCGAAAGCTGAGGCTTGCAATGACGCGCTGGTTTACACGGCGGTGCCAGTGGATGCCACCGAACTGCTGCATACCCTGCCAAGTGCTTCACTGCTCATTCCCAAGTGCAGGAAGGATTCCAAACCAAGGGTCAAGCTAGGGTCAGGCTGAAACAGACTGTTGTTCCCCTCATAACCCCAGAGCTCCAGCCCGACTAGGTCATCTTTTGCTACGTCATCTCACTAATCTGTTGCTGGGTTTGTTTTTTGTTTTTAATTTTCTAGAGGCCACATGTGCTAGCCAGAGAGAAACAGAGAAAGAGAGAGGGAAAGTGAGAAAGCAACGCCCATGGGGAATGGTCACTTTGCAATCCCTTCTCTTCCATTTCTCCTTTTGGGATTTCGGGCACACTTGGGTCCAGGACTTGAATGATGCTGTGGGCCATGTGAGATCCAGCTGTCTTGACCCCCACACCACTGACGAGCCCTGTTGCTGGGTTTATAGCTTCTCTTGCATTCAGTCAGTCAATCAGCACGCTCTGTCCTAGACTGCAGAAGGACAAGAGGGCCCTACCTGGTCCCCAGAGGAGGCATGAGTATTAGCATCCTCCACGTCTCCGGTTTCCCACATGCAATCCGGTACAGCGCTTACGCAACGGTGACTCTGGGTCAACTAAACACAGACTAAAAAAGAAACAAATAAACCAACTCACTGGGTGGCACAATCACTATACCAACCCACATCTCCCACACCCCCAGTCCCACTCCCACTCCCAAACCCCGTACTTCAGCAATATCAGGGCACTCCCCATCCTTAGACTCTGCCATTTGTAAAGGCTAAGGATCTCAGTAAGGCATAAGTACAGCTTCATAGATAAAAATAGTAGTTTCCAAATTAGAATAACCTCAACAGAATCCTCTTATTAGCTTTATGATACTGAGCAAGTCCTTTAACCTGCAGCAGCTTCAGTTTCCTTCATCAGTAAAATGAGAACAATTGCAGGTCTTTCCCTGGGGTTTGCTGAATGAATGCAACTGGGCTGTTACAGTAGTGAATGAGAGTCTCTGAGGTGTCACGTTGATTGGCATATAAAATGCGTCCAAAAAAAACGGCAGCAGTAGTAGAATGATGTAGATGATGGTGACACGGGAAGTCGGTGGTCAGTCCTGTAAGTCACTGGCTGGAGTCACAGCAATTAGCAACCCAGGCAGCTTCTTCCAGAGGCCGGCCCCGAACCGGTCTGGTGTAAAACGTCCACTGTCCCTTGCGATTCGCCCCACGCTCGGTCCTCCCTGGGGAGTGCCAGACTGCGTCACTCGCCTCTCCCACCAGCTCCTTCTGGGCGGCCAGACACATGGTGGGAACGTGAGGGGGCGGGGCAGATCTGGCGCTGCTGGGCCAATAGCCCGACGTTAGGCGCCTAGCCAATGGCAGAGACGCTCGATGCCTTGGGGGTGTGGCCACAGGGGGGAGCGGAGGTGTCATAGGTCACCGGGAGGGATGTGGGCGTGGCCCTCGGGGCGGACGGGGCGGAGCCGTGGTGACTGGAGCGGCGGTGGCTGGAGCAGTCAGGGCAGTGATGGCGGCGGCTGCGGTG